TTTGCCTGAGGTCTCTCAGCAGAACTCCTTGCTCCAGACGCTCTAGACGCTTCAGACGCCTTCTTTGCCTCATTTTCTTATCTTCCTTGCAGCGGCCATCGGAGTATAATTGCCAGCGGGATCCTGGTTCGGGGCTGGGGATGGGATGCGAGGAATGTGCTTCTTGCGAAGGTCGTAGGGTATGGCGGCAGGAGCGCGATTCGCAGACATCTCGATATCGGTTTGAATATAGGCTATAATTTCCTAATTAGAAAGTCAGAAAAACCTCAGATATGACAAATTCAGTAAAAAATCGATGGGATTTGGTGAGAAAAATCAGTATTTTGGTGGTTTGGAGGGCTTCCGATACAAAAGTTGCAATTTTTTGAGGTTTTGGGGTGCCAAAACTGCACCAAATTTTGCATACGCTAAATGTATGTACATCTAGATATGTATTACCTGCATCTTTAGGATTGGATTAGGTAGGGCTGAAGGGTCCTCCTGACCAGCTGGGGTAATCGAATCAAATTCCATTGTTAACATCACGTAGGGAAATTCTTGTATCAGTGCAGTGCAGATAGATGTGCATACGTGTTCGTGTCGATCATATTCCCTTCCATTCCCTTGCTCAGCCCAGCTCTGCTGGGGAGGGGAAGGGTTTTTAAAACTCTCCCTGGGCTTTACTCATCGCCTTAGAGGGTAACTCGTTCATATCCATTCTAGGAAGTTTACTCCGCTTGGCGAGCAAAAGGAAATAAGCAGGGTGGCTGAGTTAGACTCATGTTAATTACTGGCAATTATTCCCGAATAAAATCGGCCCCTGCTTGCCAAAAAAGTATGAAAGATGCAAAATACGTAATAGCATACTTCTGATCTTGCGGGTTGTCATTGCAAGGATTTTCGTCTGGACAAGATGGAGTCAGGCTCTAGAAGTAAACGAAGCCGTCCAGTGACGAGCAAGACCTTGGACCGGACAAGGGACTGTCATCAAACAGCTGAGTCTTGAAGTTTACTCTGCATCTGCAGGCCTCTCTCCAAGTTCCACCGCATCGGGAACGTCCAGTCGACCGACGGGCCCACTCGTAGGGCTGAATCTCGTGTCAACCCCAGGCGCGGGACCAAGAGATGGCGGGATGGCAGTCGACAAGGGAATTCAGGGGAAAGAGAGGGATGGATAGGGATGCATGGTCTTGACCTGACCTGTAAACAAGTCTCCTCTCCTGTTCCCATGCAGTAGTGACATGGGCAAGGCAAGATTGAACCCTCTGTCTGGGACATACCAGCTGAAATGGCCCCGGGCCATGCATAAGCGTTGCAACAGAGGATGCGACAGGAATGTTGGAGAGACCATGGGAAGTGTGATTCTGTAATTGCATTGGCTGGAACTAACTCTTACGGCCAAAGTTTGAGAATTGACTGTTCTTCCGGTCGACAGTACATAAGCATTTAGATCAAAGGGCCATTTCCCAAACTTACCAATCATCGCCTGTATCAGGGATGACATTCAAATGCATTCTAATTCAGACTAGCAGGAAAAAGCAATTCGATTAATTGTAGTGGTACTACATGTAATAGGAATGACACTTGCAACAGGGCGCACCCATCCACACATACCTCCCTGTCGACCTATCAGCATAATTACCATGGCTGCGAAATGTAAACACTGACATAGAAGAAGCCAGCAAGCACCTTTTCGAAAGTTTATTACGCAAGTTTATTAATTGTGAGCGACAGAAGATCGATCAATCAGATTCGTCTTCTCTAACAACCCCCTTTTTGCCGACCTTCCCTCGTTCCTGTGTCCCTTTTCTTTTCTGATTACTGGTTTTCAAACTAACTATGGAGGAGGGTATTTAAGTAAATATGTACAGAACATGTATTTAATGTTCGGAATCAAGAATAATACACAGGGGCCGAATCTCTATCACATGAAAGTAACTGTACGGAATATTACTGACACACACAAACATGATGTACCAGCTAGCTTTTACCCTTCTACCTATGGTAGGATATCGTGCCTAATTATGAACCTGGAGCATCCAGCTTCTGTCCTCGCTGACAGATGGTCGATATCTGTCTGGGAGAAAGTATCAGGTCAGTTCTGGGGCAGCCGTGGGCAGTAATGAGTATATTCAGAAAGAAATAATGGCCAATTAAGTAATCAGTATGTTAGGAATTTGCAAGATGGGCTTGAGAATGGCCTTTCTTGCTTCTCCTGCTGGGATCATTGTTGCAACATTGTTTTTGTTATCGTCACAATATATCACTTGAATTGACATTGTGATTCACCTTGTCCTCTTTCTCCCCCTTTATTTTTCTATAGTATTTTTTCTTCCTTTGCTAGGCTATTAAATTGTAAGATAGGCAGAGCTGGAATCACCTCCATGGGTTTAGATAATCCGTATATGTCTTGTTGTGACTCGTTGCGATGTCGAAATATATCCATAGATAGGCAGGATTGCGGACAGAAAAAGATAGGATAGTTGTACGTTTAGTCAATTCAGTCAACTCGGTATATAATGTTAATTTATCATTTCTTCAGATTTTATTCTCTTCTCCTCCTTCTTTTATTTTTATATTTATTTTCTAAAGAAATCCCTTTACTGGAGTTGACAATGGCAAGACGAGTGGAAGGCGGTGAGACAGGCGGTGAGAGAGTCCGCCGGAGCTTTGTTGTCGCTGACCGTCCAAGTGGAGAGCTTCAAGCAGTCCCCGCATACCTCGACTCTCTTGTTCGACTCATTCACGATACTCATACGAGTTCTGGTCTTACTTTTACGCCCCTTATGAACTGATTCTCTGTATCCTATCATTCCTACCGAGCAGCGGACAGAGTTCGAGGAAGGGATCCCATCTCCCACTCAGTGGACCAGACCAGGCAGAACGCGAAGCGTAGAGTTTAGGACCGGCATATCAGGGAGAGTGAGGGTGCTCGCTGAGGAGGCGTGATAACCGGCGAAGCGAGTCGGGATGAATCCTTCATCTTTACCCGACGCCTCGGAGGTGACTGAGCTGGAGGGTGAATTTCCCAGTACCGAACATGGCGGTGGGAGACGGCCTATCAAGGTCGATGGTAATATGCTCGGGACTATGCTTTCTGCTACGCTGGCTTTAGATTGAAACTGACTACTTGCGTGCTTAGATCCGCCAAAGTTCGACTTGGATTCCTACATTGCAAACTATAGCGGTATGATCTTTCTATCCCTTTTCCACCACGACGAGTTTGTCAGCTCGCGTTGTGTGAGCCCCGCTGATGATTTCAGGGCGCACGAGATTCGATCGCCTCTACCTGATCGGTACTTGCTCGACATATCTCGCTACCGACGCACTCAAGGCCGCGGTTGTGGAAGCCAAATCCGGCAAGGATGTCGGCAGATACCAAAAGGCCGTCAAGGCATTGGCCGAGGTCGCACCAGACGAGCCCGAAGCAGTCCTAGATAACGACTGGGTGGAACGCACGCAGAAGCTTGTCCGAGCCGAGACAGATCGGTTGGAGCATGAACTGAGAGGTTACAAGAACAACCTGATCAAAGAGAGCATAAGGGTGTGTCTATGTCTGCCCTTCGCCGTGTCGTCGCATCGTCTGACTGGTTTCTAGATGGGGAATGAAGATCTTGGATCGCACTATCATCAGATCGGTGACTTGGCGGCGGCCGCCAAGGCGTATGCCCGCATGAGGGATTACTGTACGACGCCAAGTCATATCGCTTCGATGCAACTGAAGAATATCCACGTCGCCGTGGACCGCGGAGACTGGCTAGGCGTGCAGTCGAATGTGCATCGACTGCGCACGCTGCAAACCAAGCCCGAAGAGCAAGCCAAAAACCAGCCAAAGATGTGTGCAGCCATGGGGTTGGCTCAGATGTCGCTTGGCGCCTATCTCGACGCGGCGAACAGTTTTCTGGCCACCGATCCCAGCCTCGGGGACAGCTACAACGAGGTGATCACTTCGAACGACGTGGCTGTGTACGGTGGACTGTGTGCGCTGGCGTCGATGGACCGGAATGAGCTGCAGCGTCGGGTCCTGGACAACAGCCAGTTCCGCAACTTCCTGGAGCTGGAGCCGCACATCCGGCGTGCGATTTCTTTCTTCTGCAATTCCAAGTTCCGGCCGTGCCTGGAGATTCTGGAAGCGTACCGGACGGACTATCTGCTTGATCTGCATCTGCAACGGCACGTTTCGACGCTGTATGATCGCATCCGCACCAAGTCTATCCAACAGTACCTTGTGCCCTTCAGCCGGGTGACGTTAGACGCCATGGCCAAGACGTTCGCGCCGTCTACCGCGGGTGGGAATGCGAACCCAGCAGACCTGAACTCGCCGTTTGTGCAGGAGCTGATCCGACTGATCGAGGACGGCACCCTAGATGCGCGGATTGACCTGGAGAAGGGGGTGATGGTGTCGAAGCAGACGGATCTGCGGATGGACGTGCACCAGGCCGCGCTCGAAAGCATTGAGGAGTATGTGCGGGAAGCGCATCTGCGGCTGCTGCGTGCGAATATCCTGCACGCAGGGCTGGAGGTGCGGCCTCTGGCGGCGCAGGCTGGTGAGAAGGCGAGGGAGCAGCGATTCCACGGGCAGCTGGCTGGGCTTGATCGGGAGTGATCAATCAGTCGGTTTTTTTTGTTTCCCCAGATAGCATGATAACATCGGACGTAATGAATTGATGACTTGCTGAAGTAACGTAGTATAATGCAATAAATAAATACCATTGTACAGTTGAATGTATTCCAAACTGCACCAACCCTTAGTATTGGAAGTAATAGAAGATATTCTGGCCTCGAAGCTTCTTCTTTCTACTTGCGTATGAGGGAAGTAGGCTTCTTCGAGATATGCTAGTCGAGTTGATATGATACCATGGGCAACATCAAAGGAATAATCCTTCAAAATGCTCATGACCAGTAGCATTGAGCTATGATCTTCTCAAAGGACTATATATAAATCGATAATGGAGCTATACATGCATGCATGCAATAAATAGAAATAAATAGGCTGGTGTGACTGAACAGTTAAAAACAATAAAAAAAAAGATAAAGAGCCACAAGTGGTGACAATAGCTAGCTATAACCTATCCTTTCCTTTTTTTTTGCCTTCCTTCACAGCTTTGCCTTTGCCTTCGATTCCGTCATGTCATCTTTGCTCTTGTTGTCGTTGTTACTACTATCTATCAGCTCATTCGCCTTCAACGGCCCCGGATGGATCTTGATATCGTCAAAGGGCAGGTTGAGGAAGGTCCAGATGTAGTGGAATCTGTTTGGAAACAAACACTGACGGTCAGAATGATCATACATATTATTATATCTATACTGGATAATGGCAACAAACCGATCACTCCCAAAAAACATCGACGTCTCCTCCTCCTTCCCATCGGGTCCTTCACGAACGACCCAGAACCATGGCGCACCGAACGCGCCCCGATCCAGCGCCTCCTTCGTGCGCGCCAGAAGGGCGTCTTTCCACTTCTGCTCGCCTGTCGCGGCGATGATGGTCTCTGCTTCGTGGGCCGTGAAACCCGCGTCTTCGGTCAGCAGGCGCGTTAGCACCGCTGGCTGGGAGATGTCCTCGTGGCGGTAGAAGAGCCATTGCCAGAGGAGGAGGAAGGTTTCTTCGAATTTTGAGGCCGGATAGTGTGCTTTTATGTAGGTGATTGCTCGTTGGGGCTGCGATCATGGATGGACGAAGGTGTTAGTAGAGAACATTATTGTATTATACCATTCAGGACTATATCCCTTTTGTGATTCTTCTTTTCGTTTTAAGATGAACTCACCAACAACGAAAGAATAGGGAAAAATGACGGCGCCGTAAACTCCGGTAGGCCAAAGTATCGAACCGCGTTCTTGCGGTCGTATTCGCTGTAGCGGGCTTTGGCGGGGAGTTTCCACGGGGGTGTGTTTCCTAGCTAGCAGTAAGGAGCTGAAATATCGATAGAATTATTGATAGATGGTTGGTTGAGGTCTTTGTGTATATGTATAGGAGTGACGTACCTGAGCCGACGTTGATGCCGCCGAGGAAGACGGGGTGGATTCTGTCGGTGTTAGTATCGATCAATTGCAGGTAGAATGAGCTTATCAATTTAAGACTGATATACTGATAGAAAAAAGAGTTGGATTGAGTAGGACATACTCGATCTTGACGCCATGGGTCGCCAGCACAGCCCGGTGCTTGCGCAGGTGCAGGAATGCAAAGTATGAATAGGGAGACACTGGAATCACATTGCTATTAGCTGGTAATTCTCAACACAATATATGAATGTCTATAATAAAACTCTTGCTTCTGAAATGATGGCAATGACATCAACTCACCGCAGTCGAAATACGCGTGGATCGTTCCCCCCATGGCGACTATAATATCATCGATATGTCAGCGAGATCACGACAGATAGGCTTCTCGAATTCCTGATTATTATTCAATTTAAAATAAACAAATATATGACGATTGTGAAATAATAGCAGTTATCTTTCATCAGCATCTGCTCAACCGAGGTTCAACTGGAGCGAACCTAGGCTTGGCAGTGAATTTCGGATCACTCATCACTAATTCATTCATCCACATCCACTTCTTCCATCGCCATCGCAATGGCAACCGACAACAGGCGTGTTTCTTATTCCTGATCATGTCACTGTGTTAATTACTCGGCCTCGGACTGGTTTCGGTTATTGCCATTGCTCTGCGTTGCGGAGCTTGGCTGTGGATGGTTTTAAGCGCGCTTTTATGTAAAATATGTATGGAAGCTAGCTTGCTGTCCGAGTCCTGCTTCAGTGTGAATTCTTGACTTCTATCCGCTCTTGCCAATTTACTGTAGATTTTGTCTGACTTTTCTCTCTCTTTTTTTACTTGCAATGGCGAAACCTGTCGCCCTCGTCATCGGAGCATCGCGAGGCATCGGCCGGCAGGTGGCCATCGACCTGGCCAAGAATGGCTATGCTGGTATTTCCTCACTTCAATAAATTCATGAGATGGGGTGCAATGCTAACGACGACAGTCGTCGTCGCCGCAAAGTCCACGTCGGACGCCAGCAAAACCGTCCCCTTCCCGCCCGACCCCAACTCGCCGCAATCGACCATCAACACGGTCGAGCGCGAGATCCGCGAGGCCGGAGGCGAGGCTACCGCCATCCCTGTCGACACGCGCTATGTCGACCAGATCAACCGGCTTGTTGACGAGACGGTCCGCATCTACGGCAAGCTCGATGTCCTCATCTACAACTCGGGCGCCATCTGGTGGGCCTCGGTCGAGAACACGCCCGTCAAGCGGTTCCAGCTGATGCAGAAGATCAACCCGGAGGGCCTGTATGCCGCTGTCCAGGCTGCCTTGCCGCACTTTGGCCGGAACGGCTGGAAGGGCCGCATCATCGTTGTGTCTCCGCCAATTTATTCCCGGTTTTTCCGTGGGAAGACGGCGTATGCGATGGGTAGTTGAGATCTAGACTGTATTTGTTCGTTTGAAGCATTCTGACTGACATTCTGCCACAGGAAAGGTGGCGATGAGCGTCCTGACAAAGGGCCTGGCCATGGACTTTGTCCGCCAGAACCGCAAAGACATGGCCATCACCAGCATCTGGCCAGCAGCCGTAAGTCTTTCTTTGGCAGCAGGTTCGGCTAAGGACACTCACTAAATGCAGTCATGATTGAAATATCTAGTCAATCGAATCCGCGGCAACAGAGCAAACCACCGCAGCGGATCCTTCCACGAAAAAGGACCTCCGCAAACCGGTATGGAGGACCCCTGCAGCGCTGTTCCTTTCTTTATGTCTGTTCCCGCTGACTCTTCCCGCAGACCATCTTCTCCGACGCCATCCTGGCCATGCTCCGTGCCCCGGCAGAGTCTGTCAATGGTCTCCTGGACCTGGACGAGGACTTTCTCCGTAACCGCTGCGGCGTGACGGATTTTTCGAAATACTCCGTCGTGCCCGGCGCCACACCCCGGCGGATCATGCCGGCCAAGTTTCCCGTGTTAGAGGTTGCCGAACAGGATGATGAAGGGCAGAGGCTGGATAGCACCCAGCTTCGGAAGTCGAAGATCTAGCTTAGCTTGCTGCTCATAAATGGACCAACAAATGTGAATCTAACTTTGCGGATATGCATGTATGCGTCTTTTCTGGACTTTGGTTCCCCCGTACTTTCATCTCCTGAAAGGCATAGGAAAAGGGTCGCAGAGAAAGATACATGGGTATGTTTACAACTTCCCAGCAGGAAAATTCCGAAAAGAAAACTGTCGATAACTGTCGTCGTACGACGTCAAGGAAGACCGGCTAAGTCCTTGCCTTCCTATCTTTCTCCCTTTTTTGTCCATCTTTATTCCACTTCCCGTTTCTATATTTGACTTCTTCACTACCGAAGTACGGATAACGCCGGCCTTGGCTACAAACAAGTCGTCTGAGCCGATGAAGTATTCGCTAGGCACCTCCCTTCTGGGTGTTCACTCTTCATTTCATTGCTTGGTTCCTGCAGGTTCTATCACTGTTTGTGAATCATTCACTCGCTCGCTTAATCTCGCTTATTTCTCTCCCACACCCCTCTGCTCCCTCAGGCTATAAAGAAGACGCCATCTCCGTCTTCTACGAGCCTTCTTCTCCTCCTTCTCTTTCTTCTTTTAACTACGGACCATGGCTTCTTGCCATGGTCCTATATATATAATATGGTGAAGCATTTCTATACACTTTGCAATATTTCTTTATCCTTATATTCCCTATATACTCCAGGACGGTAAGTACCTCGTGTCGATAACTAGGGCCATCTGGTCCTCGCTCTCTTTCATCCTTCTTCGCTCTTCTCTTTCCTGCACATGACCGACACCCTGCTTTACTCCAGGAAAGCGAACAACAGTATATCAACGCTTTCCGTGGAGCCGTTAAAAATGCGTGCCGTCAATAGCACTGGGAGTGCAACTTCTGTCTAGCATAGGCAGCTGGTTGACCCTCCTGGAATTCGTTTGAGCTGTGAGAACTCCTGTGTAAGTATCATCATGACCTCTGTCGAGCTATGCGATGCTGACTGTAAGTAGCTGCCACATCGCTGTCAATGGAGAACAAATGTGTGGCATGGTCTTTACGAATCAGACGTCGTAAGTTCTGCCTGTCCTGAAAGCATGCTCGAAGGTTTACTAACGTCCACCGCAACAGTCGGGAATCAGAATCATCTTCAAGACTAGCAATTGCTGCTCGAGGATGGTTAGAAACAAAGGCTCGACAGTCCGAATAGTCGTCACTTTGAACATTGTTGGGACGAGGGCAAGGACCAATTGCGCAGGTACCTTGCTTCAGAAACACCATTCAATTCTGGGAAATTTGTCCTCGACTATACTATATTGCTAGTCCTTCCAAAATGCGAAAAGGGGGAAATACGGCTCTGTGGAATTTAGATATCCACCAAGCAGTGACACCCCTGAGAAGACAATCCAGTGGTGTGCATTTGGAATGGCATTTATCCAAAATGCCATTACGAGAGGCCTCACCGTTAACGCTATATATAGATCCCGGAAGAGACTCAGGAGCGAGGTCGAATTGCGAGAGACAGTCATAAAGCATTATTAGTGGCGCAAATGAACTCAACATTGCCGGAGATCTTGGTTCCTCAATGGAAACCCAGCCGGATGCCAATCCAGGCTTCGTTGTTGATGAAGACATTTGCAAGAGAGCCCACAAAAAAGACAGTTACTGGACTCGATGGGACTTTGATCTTGAATTGATACTCTGCCCACCTCTGCCCACTGCGTTATCGAATAGCTTGGCTGGCAGCTTTGCTGCGAAAATTCCGAAGCTGGTATGTTGAGGATTTATACAATGTCTGCAGGCAGATGCTTATAACGCGTGCAGTTGCGAACCCATCACGCCAGAATTTCCTGCTTTTCCTCCTTATTGCAAAAGCTGTCAATCAACATGACTCATGGTTTGACAACGAGCTGTATCAGCGTGAAAACGAGACCGAGGCCTGTCAATACCTCGGAATCGACAACCCCGACAGGCAGAAAGTACGATGCATGCATCATTGTCGCCTGCACTTTTGGCAGCCTGTTGCTATTCATGCGATGTGCCAGTTTGCCAATGACCTCCTTCTCTCTGGGTGCCTCCTGGCGGACGGTGTCGGTCTTGGGAAAACATGGACAACCATTGCATTTCTCTTAACTGTACTCTATGTTCAAGCTCAGCGAATCCTGGACCTCACGAATCTACGCGAAACCATTCCTCCAACAATGGCAGGATCCTGATTTTCTTTTTTAACTTTCGCGTCCAAGGGTCTGGACTAACAAGCACCAAACGGTACATACATACTTCCTTCCTCATAATGGAATAAAATCGAACAAGCCCAAGATCTGCATGATGGTAGCTTGCTAACCCGCTGTATAGTAATTGATTTTTTGTACTTTCTCCGATGCTTCTCTTTGGATCATCCTCCTCATTTCCAACCTTTTCAAGGAATGGCCGAAGACGCAACATGTCCTATCTTCAAGTGCAGATATCCAAGAGGTGGTTAAAATCCTGGGAGAAAAGCCAGAGACCACCTTGTGTGTCAATATTGCCCGTCAGATCCCTTTCAATCATAAGGCTGGTTATTCCAACACTCCACAGCATCTACGACAAGACGATGTTCGAAACGAGAAGGAGAGCATCCAGACCTTCCGGGATGATTGGATGCGTGAGCAGGACTGTACAAAGCAGACTCCAGGCGCAGCGACGCAGCGAAGAAAGCGTACGAAGCGGAGGTGAATCGGATCGAGAGAAATCATCGCATTGAGCGGTGCAAGCCTTGCATTGAGTGGAACAGTGATTGTGATGGGATGTCGTGCTCGTCGACGATCTATCTATCTATTCCATATCAGACTTGGAACTTCGACTCGTAGCCAAATTTCAAAATAGTGTCATGTATATTACAGCACATACAGAATTGTCTCTGGCAGCACTACAGTTCGCGGACGCGCATTCTCAATCCTGTGTGGCCAAATGGCCTTAATCGAGAGTTGGACGCAAATCAGGTGGACAAACGCAAAGACCGGTTTAGCTCAGGCATCCGTCGATATGCCCACGACACTCGTCTTAAAGCATCAGTGAGTTGCGCGACATGGAGGCAGATCACTGAATGCATTGCAAACATACTCAATTTCTCAACTGACTACTATCTCAATGTCTATCCAAGTGATGTAGAGGAATGGCCCCTTCCATACTTCGTTCGCTTTCCTTTCGACTATGCAGAACTTTGCAAGGAATTCTCCATCATCGTCGAAGAATTTTTTCATGGCTCTCAAAAGATCACGGGAAGGATGCAACACAATCAATTCTCTCTGGCTGCACGTCCTGTAGCTTCTCTATCGATGAACAGAGCGATGAGACAACACATCTGGCCCAAACTCATGGCAGGCTGCATTGGGAAACCAATACAGACAGTCATCAAGCTGCAATCAATTTCGGACGCTGCCGCCGTATGCAACAGCATGATGACTTGAATTTGCTCAACTGATTCTCACTGTCTACAATGCCTGCCGTCCGTGCTACTGCGAATGCCCCTGCGCCACAGACTGATCAGCAACTGAGGGCGATAAGGATAAAGAGGGGAACTGGGATTGAAGGAAACAGACATCTTATCGATGCAAAGAGATTAGAGATTACAACAAATGTGCCAAGGCCCCAAACTCAACTGGAAGATGGACAGGACCGTCAGTATTATACCTCGCCTCAATAGGGAAATTTACAAATTCTGAGCTTTTTTTTCTCCAGGTCAGCTTATACTGCAGAGCCAATGGGCGCTGCACTGGTGGTCAGATAAACTCTTGTCAAGGATATCGAGGCTTTGATTGAATTATTCAAGATGGGGCTTATGATGGTGTACAAAGGATCCATCCTTAAAGACCAGACAGCGATGAACCATCTGCGGCCGATGAATAGAATCCAGAATATCGAGACACGAGGAATGAATCCCTCCTACAGTGACCCATGGCTTCGACGATGCTCGGGGACAAACCTGGTTATTGTTGAGGCCAAGAAGAGCTGTCCCAGAATGCCTGGGATACATGGGTAGGTTATTCCTCTCTCTACGAGTCTTTTTCTTCTCTCTTGTGACCTTCTCTGATTAGACACTATAGCCATGGTACATTACATCCGCAACAACTGCTGCGCAATTGCCGGACGCAATATTGAGCCCAAATTGTTACTATCGTCGCTGTTCTCGAAGGGACAATCACCAAATAATGAGCATCTTGTGATCTCGCAAGACAAGGACGAAGTGTATGTCACGTTTCTATTATACGATAATAGCAACAGACAGACAACGCAACTCTAATTCCTTACAATGCATCAACATGGGTCCTGGGATGTTGACTCCATGATGAGGACATGGAACAGACAGCTTGGGAATATTATCCGAGAAGTGCAAACCAGAAGGCAAAAAGAGGGAATCAACTCCCAAATGGAAGCACGCAATCACTCTTTCAGAGAGAGCTCGTGAGGAGGCAAAGCATGGAAGAGTTGAATACCAGAAGGGCGAATTGGCAGCATCTCAGACTACAGCAGAAAATGCTGTAAAAACGCCGGGTCGACGGCATAAAATCTACCCATGCTATGTTTTCTCATTGGTGGCAGAATATATTGACAAGTATTTTTCTTGCCAGTATTGACGAAGCTCCTATCCGGAAGCATGAATATCTCCCTGAAGCCGAATCCCGTTCGACCACGGACGCTTCATCGTGAAAATATCCCACCGAGGTTCTTCGCAGCCAGCGCCGCTACTAACCCGGTTCCCGTTTCCGGGCTCCCACCATACACAGGGCCTCAAACCCTGTCTGGTCGTGAACGGGCTTGGGTTCGCGAGCCCTCGTTGCGCTCGGGCGACATAGTCGGCCTGGTCAGTAGGGGGCCTGATGGCAGACTAAAACCATTTCCGCGAGGCCATAATCCACGATTCAAAGAACCTTAAGCAGGAAAGGGCTGGCAACGCTGTATTTCTCCGTTCAACAATCAACTCGAATGATGGGACACAGCCCGAGATCTGACATGCTAGTCGTCAACTCAACACAATCACAAGCTTGATGTTCGGGTTGGTCCAACCTTCTGTACCATTCTTTTGCTATTGGAAAGCTTTCTTGTCCACCTTTGACAGCTTTTTGCTCATCTACTCCTCCTATCGCTCGTCAAAACAAACCCACGACACCCGTCAACTTTCCTTCCTTTACTCGCCTCCTACCTCCTACTGCGCTTGATCTGACAAGGACGTCCTCTCATTCCGTCGACAAGCGATATTGATCGAGCTTTAAGATCTTTCCAAGATGAAGTAAGCGCCCCCTTCTCTCGGTTGATGTCTCTTCCACTTTGCATAGCGAGGTTGAGTCGCCAGTGCCAGCCAACGCGGCTCAGCTGCAGCGGCTGAGTATTGGTTTTATCGGACTGCGGAGATCTTCAACAAATTGCGCCGGTGGTCTACTGAACTCAGGACACAGGCCTATAATACGATCCTTGACGAAGTCGCATCTAAGCTCTCCGATGCTGTGTTCCACGCCCAGAATCACTATGAGGAGCTACTTGTCCACCTGTACTTGTTGAGCTACGTTTGTGAAAAGCTCGACATACGCAATCGTTAATACCCTGGATAAGAGGATTGGGTCTACTATTATCATTGGTTCCGGAATCCTGTTGAACGCCGAAAGCGCAATTGTATTCCAGGAGCTACAAGACCTGAGTCCCAATACGTATACAAGCTTTACAGATGTCTTTATGCAATCACAGGGGGGAAGTGTATCATCCACAGCGAATACTCTTATACGGTCGAAGTTCTTCTAGAGAGTGAGATCAGAAATCCAGATCGAGGACCGCTCCACTACTGCCGGTGCATCACCTTGCTGATTGAGACCAACAAAATCAAAATGAGAAGCGTTCTGTTTACATACATACACTGCCAGCAATGCCATTTTTGGCAGGATGAAAAAAATCGGAACTCTTCTCTCCCAGAAACAACTATCATCGAAAAGGAGTTCGATTCAGGAGAGCCCACCGTGGCCCGGTTCCTTGTGCCATCCTCAATAATGGTCCGTCGAAATGAACGTCCCCTGAATCTCACAGCCATCGAGGTCATGTTACGCGGTGAATAATACATTGCAACTTGTTAGATACTGACCGGGATCCGCAAAAAGCTATTCAGTTCGGACACCAAATAACAACGCCCCCTTGCACATCAAAAACAACTGTGTAGCTGTCCAAGCTGCACTTGATTCTAGAGCCGACGGAGCACAATGGGCCTTAACGAAGCTTCCACAGTATTTTGACACTGGAAACTTCACCGTTATCACGGATCACTCCGCTCTCGTTGACGCCCTTTGGGTCTGGAAGCAGACAGTTTGGAGCAAGGGGATGGATGGGAGGAAATGTTGTCGTTAATTTGCGGTGCTATAAACTCAGACAACGGTATGTTATCTCCGAAGGTCGTGACAGGTCCTCGATGCATGTACTTGTGGAATAGCTGGGCTGTGCCTATGCAGCCGTATTTGCACTGGAGGTGATGCTAATAAATAATACGAAGTACAAACAGACGATTTCGATTAGCTCCGCTCGCTGCGGTTCTGGCCACTTATATGTGTCTGTACTGCCACATCACCACCCAGGCCGATACTCCTTTGTCGTCCTGTGCCTATCTTGCGGCTGCCTGGGAACCATCCTCGCTGCATTGGTCATTCTCGAGCCGAAGACCCTATCCTTGCTGCCGTCAAACACAACGGATTCGCGGTGGTCATCGAACCACTCGCTGGCCTCGAGTCGCTGGCCGGCGCCGCAGTGGAGGCGTCCTGCGTTGGCTGTCTTCGCATGCTCTCTCGCAGGATTTGGGGGTTGCGCCACCATCATACATGGTTTCAACCACACGCCTTTGTTGGAAGAGTCGCATTCTACAGGATGTGCCAGATGGCATTGTCGAGCCGTTAACCGACGAGCTGGGATGATGCGATAAGCAGGCCAATAAGGCCTACGACGGCAACTACACTGAGAAAGGTGAATCTCACCAAATCAAGGAGCTCAAACGCATTGCTGCAAGCCTACACATTGGAAGGTGTTTCTCACAACTACCCCTGCAGTTAATGCATTGTGCTGTTTCTCTCAAATCTACCAAGCGAATGTGCAAGCACAATCCACTGGATTCCGCAAATCGAGGGTCTAATTCTCTCTACTGGAAGCTGCTCTAACCTTGTGCTTCGACCTCTACTGACTCAGATTAAGATGTCAAGCTTGCTTAAAAGGCTAGTATGCTGATCAAGCGAAAGAAATGGGAATCATCCACTCACAACGATTCCTGCCGCAGTGATGATTCTGAACAGCCATTTTATCCTGCAAACTGCCTGTTTTACCTCCGACAAAAATTCAAAGACGGTCGATGGCACTGAGCCCTGCTCCAGGGGCAGTGGATCAGGTGGTTGTGCCGCATCCAACGACAGTACAGAAAACGGTCCAAAGAAGGTCGAGCTCCGAAGACAAGAAATCAGATGACAATGATTCCGACCCTCAGGATTCTGAGGTGATGGCCAGGTGGCGGAAGCAAACGACTCCGAAGCCGACTCAGAGCATACCAATGATGGTTCTGGTGTTCAGGTTGGCGCTCAGCCCGACCCGGACGGTATACACGAGGAAAACGATGACCTTGAGGTGGATGACTTCGACGAGTCAGATCACAGGGAGTACTAGTAAGCAACAATCACTGGCTGAATCTTCTAAGTCTTTTAGCTAATGGCATCCTTTTCTTTGCAGTATTCGCGTATTTCGGGACAAACTGCGATGTGAGCAGATGGGCGAGGGATTCATGCCTTGAAATACTCCACCCGACGGATCTCACCTATCATCCTATCCGATTGACGCCTGGCGCGAAGCCGCACTCTGTTCATGGTCAGAAAACGTGGCCACCAGATAAAGAGTATTGGCTACATTTCCATGCCGGAGCCGAAAAACTGAAGTGGGCCAACCGCGAACCAGAAGAAGATGCGATTCTTCAAGGAAGAATTTATGAGCATACACAGTCCGTCAACGGTAGAAACAGAGACCAGGTACGTTGTTCTGATTCTGATTGACACTTGATATACACCAAAATAGCTGAAAAGAGAGATCAGATATACGGATTTTTAGAAGATGTCTTGACACATCACACTGACTATGCTGTTCCTGATGACAAAGTAGCTGAGTTAACAACAATCTATGCTGAACTGCGCAGATTGAGGTATTAATTGCGTCAACGGTAGACTTTCTGAGTGGAATGCTCGTCCGGTTCTTGTTGACAAAGTCGAGATCCCAACACCTCAAGATGAACCATGCTTGACAATCAATTATGCTGGTGTTCCAGAGGATATGCCTGGCAATCTCCTCGAATTGACTAGCAAAGGTTACGATTTCCTTCTCAGGCTCGCAATAGCACTTTTCTTTATGCTGACGTCAAACGTGGATACTTTGCCGTTCTCCTGAACCCTGAAGACCGTCACGTTTCCGCAGCTCCCAGCTTCAACCCACGTGGATGCCCCAGGGATCTCGCATTGACAGCTTCACAATGACTGAACTGATGAACATCGTCCTTGGCCCGATTCCGTAACTGAACCCTGAGCTATTTCTCGTGTATGCTGAGAATTCCTATGGCATTCCTTCTTTGTGTTTTCACATGGATGACATTTTTGGCGCACATCCCGGCCTGGATTCCTTCGCTTTTTCAAACTCGAGGATAGATGAACTGGCGCGGAACAGCACCATATACCTGGACGTGAGACGACGAATGCTTGACATCTACCGCAGGGACATCCTAAAGCGTGCAACCACTGCAACGAGAAGAAGGATCAGACACGGTAATCGAACCGTTCATCGAGGCGATGCTGTCGCCGCACATATCTCGATTCCTTCTGAACTACCCGGGCTCTCCATTCTGGATTCTCGATATATCTCTTGATTCATTCTTACTCTTCAGACATCTTGATTTTAACTCCTGTACTGATCTCGATTCGTCCTGATCTTACCAACCACAAATCTCCGTCCTTCCTCAATCAACCACGAATCTCTTTACGGGATCACCGAGGAAAACGTACGCGTCGGTCGTTAACGCCCCAACGTCGCGAATTCTCTTGAAGTTGCAACCCAACTCCAGATTTCAATGGCCAAGGAGATATTCGCCAATATCGCTCACCAAGATCTCCAACCATCTGGATTGTCAGGAATAGTATTCCTTATTTCCCTGTATACCGATCAGCTGGTATTTGTGCTCGCTGGTTTGCTTACGTCCTGTGTGGCAATCATTGCGCCAACCTTCTATTTGTCCCTAACCCTGAACACAGCGCTCCACGAGGCGAAACCAGCTTCACCTTTGGCACCCACCTGGTGCCACCACACGCATTAACAATGAACGAGGTCGCATGGCTGCGAGATCTTTCCTCGCCAGAAACGCGCACCATTGGCCGGATGGCCTGATGGCAAACAAAGCAATCTTACGACCAATGGTTTGCCAGCCCTGTTGTGGATTGGACATCAAATCAGGACCGTGTCATTACTTTGGCCCTTCGAACTCAGCTTCGCGCAAACGTTGTTGCCACATGATGCCGCATGAACTTGCAGAAACCCCAGGGTCACTCCAAAACAGATTAAGGATCTAACTAAGGTCGTGCGAGAGTGGCTGGTCGATGATGGATGGCCTCATCTCGGTCAATCTCAAGGCCAACGCTGCCGCCTCCAGGCTATGGGGAAATGTTTCGATGACCACCAAGAGCAGTTTCCGGAGTATCTCCAGGCAGCTGATCCGAGAACACGCAATGAAACCCTGAAATGCATCACGACAATGGCCTGATTTCAGCCTTTCTTCCCTCACTTCTGGAGCTCTCTTATCTCCCTATCCTACTCTATCCCTACCTACCTGATTCTAAACCTAAGGAAGACTTCCAATGGTTTCCTAGCGCCTTCATCACGTGATTCGGACGCACCTGGCATAGCTTTCAGCAATACACACACCGCTTTAGACTTGATTTCCCAGAGGATAACTCCTTAAGTTCATCGATTTTAATTATCCTGCTGGCAGTTTGACAGACGCATTGTTCCGCAAATGATGCCTTAGTATGTAGATATGGCATAGGTGATTTCCTAGAGAAAATGGGGGGATCAAATATCCTAATAGGAGATCTTCTCAGTTGTAAAAGACATCAACTTCTATTGTACTGTACTGTACATACATACCTAGGTACATGCATTACGTGCAGACATGTAAGTTGACGTTAGGTAGTAAGATACTGTACAAGATTCAACTCATGCGACGCCCGACATTGTCAAATACACGGTTATAAGGATTAGGGAATAATCACAGATGAACCGGTTACATGGCCGCCAGAGCCAGAGCCATGGCGGCACCGCCCACAGCCCACGCATGGCCGGTCACCTGGGGAGCGCCCGCCTTGCTGGAACTGGTAGATGTCACAGTTCCCGTCGCAGCAGGGACAGAAGATGCCCGAGAGCTCGTCGACGCGCTGGACGCAGCAGATAGCGACGCTGAACTGGCGAAGGTGGTAGGCGTCGTTGTCGGCGCCGTCGGCGTAGCACCCGTACTGGCGGCCGAGGTAGCGCTCGCCTCCGCAGCGACTGGTACAAAAAGAGAGGCCAGAACATGGCTCCCAAAGTGCGCGGTGTACATTCCGCTCCAGCTGACAGGACCGCCGACGGACTGCACGCAGGAGGCCGACGTGGTTCCGTAAAGATGGCAGTGCAAGTCAGCGGACTCGCTGAAGAGAGTCAGCACCGGAATGAGAAAGAAAGGAAAAGGTCCTCACCCATCCGGAAGTCCCGTCATGGTGAACGCCACCGTGGACGGACCTTCGACCAGGGTCAGTCCATCCGTCGGCCATTCGTCGCACAAGGGGTTCTGGGATCCAGAACGGCATTGGATATTGTAAGTTGTCGCCGTGGAATCCTGATCGCAGTCAGCGGCGTTGATCAAGAGAAGGAGAGAACTTCATACACTGCCAACCACCGACGCCTCCATGTCCGTGGGGTCTAGGCCCATCAGGAGAAGAGTGACGGTGCTTGACTGGGCAGCAGCACAGCCCAGAAGGGCCAAGCACAGCAGGCTGATGGAGCGCATGTTGAAAATTGGATTCGGTGAAAGGAAAGAATAATGTTACAAAGTCAAGAATGACGAATGAACGACGGTGATGTTAAAAGAGTGACGATGGTTGTACGATAGGCAGGTTCCAGATCCCACATATTTAACAATTTCCTCCCGGGGAATCCTCGTCTTTAAATCAGGCAAATTTTGACGACCCAACATACTCGCCCGGCGCAATTGGAGCCTGGGTGAAGGAGCGGATCCCGGGGCTTGCAACGTTCCAACATGTCGGTTGTTGTTCTTTGGCTCGCCTGGGCCTGCCAAGCGCCGCTAGAGGATAGCCCACCGACGACGCTGCAAACGATCCAGTTCACGCTGCAAACCGATTGACAAAGGAAAAATTAGGCGAAGGACATAGCCATCCTGATGAGGAAATCAAGGCAAAATTAGCGGTGTCTTGCGGGCTGCTGGCCTGGAGAAAAGGAAGAGAAAAGGAAAGAAAACCAAACGAAGGATGCGCAGTTACCAAGCTAGGCACGTGGTGCGGCTGCATGACTGCCCAATCGGGTTAGCTGCTATATTTGGCAGGCCCCTTTTGCTTATCGCCGACACGCCGATATAATAAAAGTATCCATCTATAATAAAAATACTCATCTATCAAGGAACTAATAAGCAGAATCAGACAGGCCGATCTTGGCAAATGCCTGTCGAAAGGAAACTTACCAACCTAGGATATCACCATCCGTGCCATTCCCAGAAGGCCTGCAGAGCAGTATTCTCATCTCCTGTTTCATTCAAACATTCATTCATTCAGCATCATCTATGACAAGATCTGCTGCAAGTCAGATAGAAGTGGAGGTATAAGCCTATCCACCAGTTATAACCGATCTTATTCAGAGGAGTTGGTGATATTATCATTTGATACTGGCAAACACGGCAGTGTATGACATGACTTTCAGATAGATCCATATCTTCATCAACATTCCCAATGACGGTGTCGCAAATTACGTCGATACTAGCTATTAGAAAAGCGTATAGTATGAAGAGAAAGGTAAGATAAGAAAACGTATAGATCTCACCGTGTATATATCCAGACAGACAGGGAGGTATTTATTTCTCATGGATTTCTTCCTAAGGATACGACCCTGTTAGTGAATGTTTTATAGGAGGATAACTTCTGTTATTTTCCCTTGTTTCTATAGTTCTTTTTTTTGGTTTTTCTTTATTTGTTTTGTATGATAAATATATATCATTCTTCAGTATGTAACCTTCCCCTTTGTTATAATTCACTACCAGGGGAATCTTCCCTTCTCTTGTATTCCCTTCTTCCTTCTTTTCCTCTTTCTCTTCTGCCATGCCATCTTCCCTGCTCATCCTGTCATCACACCTGACAGCAGCTCCATTCAACCTCCAACATGAGCACCATCAGCATCATGACACTGGTCTTCACTGTCATCAACACAGTGCTCCTCTCAGTGGCCATAATGTGCCTGTCTCTGACGAACAAGAAGAAGAAGCCATCTTCATTTCAGCTAACAGATCATTCTTCTCGCATGACTGACTCTGACTTCGAATCGCGCCCATCAGCGCTTTCTCCGAGGAATCGTAGCAGAGATGATGACAATAACAAGGAGGAGAATGCCGAGACTGGCAACAATAGTAAGTACATGCTCCTACTCCTCAACCCTAGAATGGTAGACGACAGCCTGAAGATCCTGTCCGAGCGGCTGACGATGCAACACGAGATGATCTCTACGGTCTTGGAGAGCCAGAAGGCCGAAGAGGAGAACAGGAGGGGGTTTGAATGGCTGTGCGAGCGTCTCATTGGAATGGACTGAGCGAGTCGTCAACCAGTTAGTAAGTTTCCTGCTGACGCTGGCGAGAGAGAGGGTGACTGAGCAGAGGAATTGATTAGTTCCACTTTCGTCCAGCCTGATATCCCAATTCCACATATCTATCGTCCTGGTCAGGTGGATAACATCGCTACAGAACTGTTTAATAGAGAGTATGTCCTTTAAAAAAAAAGGAAAGAAAGGAAGAAAGAAAGGGGGAAGAAAAAATGTATTAAAACCAATTATTTGAACTCTCGTATGCTAAGTCTCTCTTATTGGGTATTTGGCATTTGTTCACGAATCGTTTCTTCACCTAGATAAACAATATTGTGTGAAAGTACCCACGCTTCCTTCTTCTCCTCGCATTGTTTCTTGTACAGGACAAAAAGAACAGCTGGGCCATTGACAAAGAAGCTAGATGGACGACAATAACAGCTGCACCTAGGTGAATCGACTGGTCACTAGTTTCAGGTCACCAACTTCAGAGCCCGCAAGCCACTCACTCAGTTTCAGCAACATTCTCGTCACGCTCACCGTCCAGGAGGTTGCCGCTGGTGCAGCCGTCGCAGTCATTACAGCCGTGGTAGCTCTTCCTGTTCTCCTCCTCCAACTTGCGGCTCTGGTGAATCATCCTCTGAACCTCCAGAAGCATGATCTGCTGCTTGACAAGCTCCTTCTGGTTCTGCATGAGCAAGCGGTTGCTCTTGAGGAGCAACTTCCGGCTCTCGCGGAGCATGATCTGCTTCTCGGCGAGGATCTGGTCGATCTTGGTGCTCGTGGAATGCGCGTTCTTGAGGTCCTTGGTCGAGACGTAGGTCTTGGCCAGCAGGAGGATGCTGGCGACGAGGAAGCCGAGCGTTACGGTGATGACGGTGCTCATGGTTGTTGCAAGGGATGGATAAAATGATAAGCATAGGAGAGGGAGAGCAGAAAAGAGAGATAACAAGAATGAGGGGGAAAGGATGCAAGAAAGAAGAGGAAGAGAGATTGAGAGAGGATCTCTCTGAGGAGCTGAAAAGAAACAAGAATGCACAGTGAGGCGAAGAAACGAACGAATTTATATTACCATAGGAAACAAAAAAGAACAAAAAAGGAAAATAACAAAGGAAAAGAAAAAGAAAAGCAATGGAAATCACCATACAAAAAAATTAACAAGTATGCAAGTACAGTTAAGAATTAGTGCTACGTAGGTATATACCATCTACCTTACCATTCTACCTATTATTATATCTAATTCAGTCGTCAATTATCGTCAATGTCTCAAGGAAAAAATAAAGTTCTTTTTTGCCCCTTAACAAAGCTATAACGTGATATATATTGTGGTAAATTCCTTTGTTTTGTCTGACATGTACGGTACATCCTAACAATAGCGTATGTCCAGTATCGGTAATTCATAGCACTGACTATCATGGTTAGGGTTGGATTAGGAAGAATGTGTCTAATGGTTAGAATTCTACAGAGAAAACAAATAAAAAAGAAAACGAAAAAGAAAAAAAAGAAAGAAAGAAGAAAAGAAGAGAAAAGAAGAGAAAAGAAGAGAAAAGAAGAGAAAAGAAGAGAAGAGAAGAGAAAGAAAAAGAGAAAGAGAAAGACAAAGAGAAAGAGGAAAAACGCGCGAGTGCAGGTTGCAGAGCTCGGTAGATAGACGAGCTTTTTTTTACCCCCAACGGAGCCAATGATCGGAGAGTATTGCATTGAATACTCTATCCATATGGGTCAAGATGGAACTCACCAAATACTGTAGTATATTATCCTTATCTAGGGATATAGAATCTTAATTATTATAGAATATAATTTTTTGAAAGAAATAAAGAAATATGAAGATAAAGAAAACAAATTGATTCTTAAAAAGACTAGTCAATTGATTCCCAACTCTCCTACACCAGTCTCTTTTCAGATAATTATCCTGGTATCTATCTGCTCACGACAGCTCGTTGGAAGCACCACTAACAGGACAGCGAGGCTGCAGGATTATCGAAAAAGAAAAATCTATAGGCTGGGCAGGGCATGACCCACATGGAATGGATGAACTCGTCTTGTCTGCTTGTCGTCCGCTTCGAGCTGCTAGGTAGCTATCACGCGATGCCTAGGTAACCTATCCAGGAGCTAGTCTGTTTACAGCCTTCTACAAGCTTATGTTCAGTACATTACCATCTGCATCTTCTTTCGCTTGGCAAGAAGACACCTGACGACGAGCATAGCCAGCATTATCATCATCTCCTACCACCACGCCTCAAGCGAGGATTCGCATTCCCATTGCCATCCATCCTTTCATTCACCCGCATCGGCAGAGCAATTACCTTCAGCAAGATGTAGACGTGCAGCAGCGGCAGCACGAAAGTGGATATGATTTTGGCGAGATCGAAAAGGATTTTGATGAGGCGCATGATCGTAGCTGCGGATGCTGAAGAAGATAGATAAGGTTGAAGTTATTTGTCAAAGTCAGGTCCTTTCTTTGAATGTGTGGATGAAAGTGCGCTGCTGGGGGAGGCGATTTAGATACAGGGAGGAGAGGAACTGAAGAGGTGAAGAGTTGAAAAAGAGAGGCAAAAAATAAAGCAGATAGATAGATTCAGGGAACTGAAATTCGAAGATTATTAAATATAATAATAAAAAGGAAACAAAGAAAGACACAACAAAAACTGGGTAACTGGGTAAAACCAGCGGAAATTACCGATATAAAATGTAATTGTAGGCGAAAATGCACCTCACCAAATGCCATTTCCGTCCTTGAACAGGAGGATCTGACTTTACTAACGTGAAAACATGTTTATTCTTTTTAATTAGATAGTTTCAATAGTTTCAAATGTATATCGAGAAAGGTTTCCTCGAGAACGTGCGTTCCGTTCCAAGAAGCGCTCTCATAAATAGAACCAGTTATACTTTTCAATTAACGAGGTTCTTACTATTATAAAAGTACTACTGTAACCTCTAAACCTCTAAAAATAATATAAATGAGTATACGATGACACGGTTAGCGGGGCGCGGGAAACGGCCGCCATTGCACGGTCCATCTGCCGCCCCTCACCGCCTGCCCCCGAGGGTGATCTGATTGCCCGATCCGGCTTAGACAGGGCCGATGTGACCTGTTTGGGGGGTAGCGCCGGCCCTGGCCGCTTTTGCCCGCTCCTGCGGAGCCCGCCCATCTATATAAACTCCAGGTGCGTCCCTCGACGGCCGACGCGATCCATCTTCTCTTCTTCCCACTGTCTTCCGGCCTGACGGTCGATGCCGTGCGATCCGATGAGTCCCCTTAACCGAGAAGGTGCCAAGCGTACCCCCTGCACCTCCGGAGTCGCCGGCGGTCAGCTGAGGTCGATCTTCTGGTGAAGTTAAGGAAGGAACAGAAGCTACCATGGTCCGAGGTT